AGAAGTTTAGCTGTCATGAGGAAGTTCTTAAGCCCTTACTTTTTAAAAGCGTCAGCTATACTTTTAGTGAATGAAAAGTTTAATGAGTTGGGTTCACTTCAGTCAGTAAAAAATGCTATTACCTTCAAATATTGCACTAGAGCATTAAAAAATTGAAAGTGTTTCTTCATCTATGCTGTGGATGGGAGTACTGAGCATTCAATTCCACCTAAACAAAGACAACCCTCCTTGCACTGAGATTAGCAAATATTTCCCTCTCCCACTCTGCTTCTGACATTCCCCAGTACAGTGCAAAAGGTGCAGTGACTTCTGCTTTTTGGGTCACAAGTTAATGACCCCCACATAACAGCTGCAGCTCCCACATGCACAGATGAACAGATCTCATACCAGTAGGTCCCAGCAAGCACAAGGTACCACATCCATGTCGGGAGTGAGGACCCTGCCAGCCTTCTAGAGATTAATTACGGTACATGGGAATAAACTGGGCAGCCCAAAAGGATGGATGGGAATAATCAAACACTGTCAAAGCTGAAACAGCAAGTGATGAGAAGAGCTCTCAAGTCTTTATCAGGGTATCACACAGCCATGGCAGGACTATTTCTAGAGTCAACTGGTGCTAACTGAAAGACGTGTCCATGAAGGAAGAGAGTACTGGAATTCCTGCTGCTGCCTTTCAGGCTGTAACCACCTTATATGGGAAGACCATATTTCTTAAGATTGTGCATCTGGCAAGAGCCTATAATGGTCATGTCAGTGAATCACTTCAATAATAGTTCCCAAATTATATACTGTTCATACTGAATCCACTCAGGTCATTCCCTGAGGAGCTCTTCCAGAGAGGCCCATGTGCCTCTCAAGCAGGATGAGGCAGTGGCAGCTCTGCCAGCCTCGGCCCCAGCAGTGGTGGAATGTGCTCTTATATACAGGTCAATGCCAAGTGCTGGTTAATGAAAATGAGACTAATCATTCCCTGTCCTGTGTGTTCTTGGAAACTCCTTCTCCAGCCTGCCCTGACACCGATACGGGCAGGCACAGCATCCTTAGGGCAGGGCCCACATCTGCCTGCTGTGCACACTGCCCTTCCCAGCTCCCAGGCTCCACCATCCCAGCCTCCCTACATGCTTCCAGCCGATTCATATCTTACAGAACAATTAATTTGCCAGAGCAGCCTGAATTCTATTTTCATTGCCTTCCTCCTTCCCTGCAGCTGAGCTGTGACTTATTGACTGTGAAGTGACTGCAGGGTCTTTAAGAGTTCAAGGCACAGGGTGTTTTTCTGCCTGTTCCTGCCTGGCTGACTCCCTCTGTAATCATCCTCGCCAGCACCATTTCACGCCACAGAGGCATGTGACATCCAACTAAGCTGTGAACCATAATCATGCTGGGGATGATGTTTACATTTGATTTTTCCTCAAGCTGATAAGCTCTTTTCAATTTCCCCTCTCCATCGAGTTGGTATGAATTGAACTGCTTATGCCCCACAGGGTGGAATTCTTCTCTTATCTCTAATCTGCTCACTGAAAAAATTGCTTCCAGCAACCCTTCAAAAGTCACTTCAAAGTTATCACTGCTAAGAGGGAAGAGCTGCAATCCTGCTCCCAGGCTGTTGCAATCAATGCTCTCCAGTGCTTTTTGGAGACAGCCACACAGGTGCCACCAGCACACAGCACACCTGGCTCTCCCCTGGCTCGGGCTGGGATCTTCACTGTGCTCCCTCAGCCAGAGGCACAGCAAGACAGTTGTCCAACACAAGTGTGAATCCTTGTTAAATCATTTCAGTTCCCTAAAGCATTAGAATCCAACCTTGAAGAACACACTGGAGACTTCTGCTCCAGCTCTGGACCATAAGTGATGGGCAGACTGAAGCCTGTGTAACAGGAGACCTGACCAATGGAAATAAACACAACTTCAAGTCAACTCTACTTTCCCATTAGACTGAGAATTCCCACTTTAGATGAAAGCCAGTTCTGCTGTGCAACACTTGGACAGTGCCAGTTCTTTTGTAGTAACAGCTCTCCCATAACCCAACCACCCTTGAACAAAAGGTTTCCAGACTCTGTCTCCAGACTGCACCTGGCAAGAGGAATGGTGATGCTCACCCACCCAGCCCTGCGATCAGGGCACCCATCCTAAAAAACCCCACTACTCAGCTGTCACCCCACAGCACCACACCACCTCAGCTCTTGCCCACACCTCACCAGAACCCTGGAGCAGCCCCTCACACTCCCTGGAGTCCCTCCCCAGGGCATGAGGGTACAGGTTCAGGGAGAAGGCACATCAAGGATCTGCATCCATTAGATTTTGAAACTCCCTATCAACTAGCTGGTCACAAGACTTTTAAAACTTTGAAGCCAAGGTCTCAGGAATGAACAAATTGGGCCTGTGTGTTCATGAATGAGCCCTGCAGCTGGCAATAAGTGAGGTTTTCTCCCTCAAAGCATGAGATTTCCAAAAGTTCCCATCAGAACACTCTGTACCTTAAGTCAACCTACCGCCAAGGCCTCCCCAACTTCCAGCCCTTCTCCAGGCAGTTTTACTCCTGTACCAGACTAACTGGTAATTTTTCTGTAATTTCTGAGGGCTTGGGGAAGGTCTGGCCTGACCCACAGTCTGGCTTAACCCTGCCATGTTGTTCGGGCAGAGCACAGCACCCAGATGCCTCCTCTCCAGCCAGGAACCAGGCAGCAGGTTTCAGCCATGCTGGTGACCCTTCATCAACAGCACACGCAGAGCAGAGAGCACAAGGGGAGCAGCACAAAGCACCCGTGTCGGTGGCTCAGGGGCACTTCAACAGCTCCACACAGCAGCACAGGCACCAGCCTTGGTGGGATCTGCCACCCACTTCAGAACACTGAGCACAGCGACAAGCCCAGACCCACAGCACAGCCTACCCTGAGTGGGTGCAGCTGTGCCTTCCCACAGCCCACCAAAGGCCACCTCCATCCCCCAGGCTTTGCTCTTCTCTAGAAAAAACTCATTTGCTGTTGTGCACGTTGTCCCCAGCCCCCCGGGAGCTCCAGCTGCAAGGGCAGCTGAGGCCAAGTGACACAATTTGGACGCTACCCAAGTGAGGAGTAAGCAACTTGACTTGAGAAATCAAAGCACTGGTGAGATTACTGGCTTTGTTTCATCTTTTTTACTATCAGCAAAGAGGTAAGACAGCCTACAGGTTCATAAATTCAGATTTACTTGCTCATTAAAGAAGATAAATACACTCTCCCTGCTTAAACCTTTCCTGAGCAACAGTCTCCATAAACACCTTGCCTAGACCTGAGCAACAACCCCCTGTCCTCCCCAAAAACCAGATATGTGACACAGAAATCAGAAGGACAAACGATAGTTTAATTGTTCATTGGTGTCCCTCCCCATGCAGAAGGGTGGAACAAGATGGGCTTGTTGAACAAACCAACAAGATGGGTCTTGAACAGACCAAACTGTTCTGTGACTGATCAGCAAGAGGCTGTCTCTCACTCCTTTGGCATCACCTGCCACCCCTGCCCGTGCTGGAGAACACTCCCAAAAAGAGGTCCAAGGGTGTGTGGGAGCACAGCAAGCAGCCTTGGGAAGGCAGGCTGCAGGCTGCCAGCCCCTGCATTTCTTTGCAGCACCGAGGAACCGCAGCAGGACGGGTGGGGACAGCTCCCCCCAGCCCAAACCTTGGCACCTTCCCCAAAGTTACACACTACACCCACAGCCCCAGCAGGGCAGATGACATCTGCGAAACGAGCAGGCTTCCACTGTAATTAGCTGGTTCTCAGAAGATCTAATGATGCTCATTTAAAGGCCTGACGACACGGAGATCGCTGTCATCACACAGCCAAACCCTCTGAGCAGCCCGGACTCCGGCAGGTGCCCGGAGCTCCGCGCCGGGCCTGCACAGGACCGTGTCAGCCCGGCAGCAGCAGGGCTGAGCATCACGAGCACGGCTCAGCCAGCAATCCTGAGGCTGCTAATGAACTAGAAATAATTAGGCAGCGGTGGAGGCGGGGGCAGGCGCACAGACACAGCCCCATGGATCCATCCTGCCCCCCAGGAACCCCGAGCCTTCTGCCAGTGCCGCTGCTGGGCTGGGCTCGCTCTGGGCCCTGACAAGCGGGCCCCGGCCGGCGACACAGCCCCCGCCCCGCTGCCAGGGTCTGCCCGGCCCCCGACCCTGTGCTCTCCGGGGAGCAGCCCCCGAGAGGGGACGGGACGGCCTCGCCGCGGCCTCCCGAGGCCCAGCCGGGGCCGGTTCCGGGGCCGGGAGTAGCGCCGGAGGTGGGCGGCCTGTGCCTCGCACGGTGCTCCGGGCGTCTCCGCTGCCCCTCGCAGCTCCGAGACTCCCGAGGACAGAGCCGCGCAGCCCCGTCCCGGTGTGCCCGGTGTCCCTCGGTGTCCCCCGGTGTGCCCGGTATCCCCGGTGTGCCCGGTGTCCCCCGGTATCCCCGGTTCCCCCGGTGTCCCCCGGTGTCTCCCAGTGTGCCCGGTATCCCCGGTTCCCCCGGTGTCCCCGCTGGGGGCGGAACCATCCCGGGGCCGGGGGAGAAGGGAAGCAGCAGTTGGACGGGACCACGCGGTGTCGGGGGGGGGGGGCTGGCC